AAAATGGTGAAATGATTTAGATCACTGAAGTGAGGAGAGACGACTGCTTGTTTTAATATCTAAATATAACTTTGTAATTCTTTGATTATCAAAATAGCATTCTTATTGCCTTAACAGTGAATAGACAACAAATGGTACCTGCAGTCAGTAACTACAGGGTTTAAAAGTTTTGAATTTTATGAGAACCATAGGAAAGCATGCCAGACCTTTTCTTATAAAGTTATTAACACTGTCTTCTCCTTCAAGGTGATTGGCTGTTCTCAGATAGTTTTCCTTAGTTTGTTTTTTTGCCTGTTTGTTTGTTTGGGTATTCAGATGTCTATAGCAGATTTATTGGCACTAGTCCCTAACTGGAAGCAGCCTACATGTCATCCTTCACTCAAAACTCTGAAATCTGAACCTATTTGAGTGTTGTATGCTCAAATGGCAGTCTTTGTAAATGCTCCTGCATCCCCCAAACTCTGAAATCTGAAGCATCTTGGTCCCACACAGTTTGGCTAAGGGATATTCAACTTGTAATGGCAAACTTGTAGGACATCATACTTCACAAAATAAAGGGCCGGGGTGTGTGTGTGGGGGGGGGTCAGTCATCAAGCATGACAATGCACACTTGTCATCCTAGCACTCAGGAGGCTAGGACAAGGGGATTGTAAGTTCGAGGCCAGCTTAGACCACATAGTGAAACTCGGTCTCAAAAAAGCAGATGCCTCTTTGCAATATGAAAGGAATGGATTACTCATATAAGCAGAATTGATACGCCTCAAAATAAATTGGGAACCTAGAAGAAAAAAAAAGAATAATGTTATCAGTGATCGAAAATGATAAGAAATGGGACTGGGAAGGTGGCTTAGTGGTAGAGTGCTTGCCTAGCATGCCTGAAGCCCTGGGTTCCATTCCTCAGTACCACATAAACAGGAAAAGCCAGAAATGGCGCTGTGGCTCAAATGGTAGAGTGCTAGCCTTGAACAAAAGAAGCTCAGGGACAGTGAGTTCAAGCCCCAGGAATGGCGAAAAAAAAAGAAAGAAAGAAAAGAAAAAAAATTCTAGGAAATGTAAGTTAGTCTATTGTGAAGGAAAATCAGTCAGCAGTTAGTTGCCTGAGGGACTAAAGAGGGCAAGGAAAAAAATTATAAAAGAAATGAGTTAGCTAGGTACTGGTGGTGCACACCTGTAGTCCTAGCTACTAGTGAAGTAGAGATAATGGGGATCTTAGTTCAAGAACACCCTGGGCACAAACTTTGTGAAATTTCCATCTCAACAATGGCTAGGTGTGGTAGTGTTAACCTGTTGCCCCAGCTATTACGACGAAGCACAATGGCTGGGCACTGTGGCACAGAAAGTACATGTAGGAGGATTATAGCCCAGTTTGGCCTGGACATAAATAGAGAATCTATCTTAAAAAATAACCCATGGGGGCAAAGAAGGTTGCTCAGTGGTAGAGTGCTTACCTAGCATTCATGAAGCCCTAGGTTCAATTTCTCAGTACCACATAAGCAGAAAAAGCCGGAAGTGGTGCAGTGGCTCAAGTGGTAGAGTGCTAGCCTTGAACAAAAGAAGATCAAGGACAGTGCCTAGGCCCTGAATTCAAGATCCATGACTGGCGTGGAGCTGGACGCCAGTGGCTCATGCCTATAATCCTACTCAGGAGGCTGAGATCTGAGGATCACAGTTCAGAGTTAGCCTGGGAAGGAAAACCCATGAGATTTTTATCTCCAGTAAAGCACCAGAAAACTGGAAGTGGCGCTGTGGCTCAAGTGGTAGAACGTGAGCTGAAAAGCAGAGGGACAGTGCCCAGGCCCAGAGTTCAAGCCCCATGACTGATCAAAATAATAATGATAATAACCCATAGGAAAAGGGGCAGGAGCAGTAGCTCAAATGGAAGAGCTCCTGTCTTGTAAGCACAAAGCCCTGAATTCAACCCCATATATATATATATATATATATATATATATAATATTATATTTATAATGTATGATTCTATATATTCACCAATAATGAAAAAATATGTGACTATTAAAGGACAAGTAGGCCTGAAAAATATTCACCCCAGATTAAAACTAATTTTGGTGAGATCCTTCAAGGATAGGAATGGACGGATTCTGAGCAATAGATAGAATGAAGAACCTGCAAGATGGTTGGGAAATGGTGAAGAAACCATGGAACTCTATAAGGGGCAGGAGAATAAATTAGAATTTTCATGAAAGAAAGCTGCCAGAATTCACAGTCCTTGGTGGCACACACAGAAAATAGTATCATCCAAGTAAAGCCATTTATGTGGGGGCAGGAATATAATGAATTCGTGCTGAAAATTTATTTTGCCTAGTATATAAACATTGTGTGAGTGGCCCCAAAGCTGGTGATATTGGACACAATTCTGGTCCTTTGAGTTATTATCTAAAAGTTGTTAAAGTAACCAGTAGAGGAACTTAAAAAAAATATATACATAATATTATTGAAATATTGAAAACATTTGTTATTGAATTTCTAGTAGAGTTATGGGCAGGTGATGTTGGTGGCACCCAGCAGAAGCTAGACAGATGGCAGGAATGCGGTCGTGGTGGACAGGAATGAGGTGGTAGTGTAGCTTTGTCCTTTTCATTAAAGTGCATTTTATGAGCCATTTGATTTTCTTTGCTCGTTGATAATTGGTGTAGATTAAGAGTTGTTTCCCAAGTAAACATGTACTCCCTGAATTTCTTAGAAGCTGAGAAAAGGGATAGTGGAGGCTTTAACTTGAAGTAAAAAAATTTTCTGCCTTTTATTTTCTGTCCCTTTTCTCTACCCCCAACCTCAGCCCCCCCCCACCTTTTTTGAGAGGGGTGCCATCCTGGGGCTTGAACTCAGGTCCTGGGTTCTGTCCCTTCTTTTGCTCAAGGATAGCACTCTACCTCTTGAGCCACAGCACCACTTCCACTGGCTTAATCATGATCCTTAGATCTAAGCCTCCTGAGTAGTTAGAATTACAGGCCTGAGCAGCTAGGATTATAGGCATGAGCCACTAGTGCCAGGCTATTTTCTGTCTTTTTTTTTTTAAATGATTTTTTTTATTGCCGATCCTGGGACTTGAACTCTCTGGGCTGGGGTGCTGTCCCTGAGCTGCTTTCTCTCAAGGCTAGGGCTCTACCACTTGAGCCACTTCTGGCACAGTGTGATAGGTTGGAGATAAAGGTCTCGCTACTTTTACTCTTGTTGAAAAACTGAAAATAGCAGCTGTCCCAGACTAGCCTGAATAACTATTGTATTGTTCCTCTCTTTATCCTATATTATTTCCTCTCTTTATCCCATATTATTATTTCTGCCCCTTCAAACCACCTATCAGCTTTCTCACCTATCATGCAATCCTTCAGGCGATCTCAGCACTTTTGATCTTTCTTACCTTCCTCAGAGAAACCATAGTCTCTGCCCTTAGTCTCTGCCCTTAAGTTAAGCATCCCTGAGGGTTCAGGCTTTTGAGACCTGCATGCTCTAGGGATGGTATGGGTGGGAATTTGTAGTGACTAGACTACCAGAGACAGGATGGTTTTGGTACACGAGATCTAGAACTTGCACAGACATTGTCCTGGGTGCCTGGATATTGGCAGAAGAAGAAACAGTTCAAAAAGTCTCTGCCCTTGAGGAGCATCCATCCTTTTTCCTTTCTGTATGGAGTTTTACATAAATAGAAAGTTCATAAAAATAGGGTTTTCTTACTGGCTTTGACATTAAGATGTGTTAGCCCTGAGGTGTCTTAAGCCCTCTAAGGGAAGAGATACCGTTTAGTTGTTATCTCATAGTCTCTGTGTTAGATCTAGCTAGAAGAAAATTGTTGAAACCTTTTTTTGCGGGATGGACCTGTAGTCACAGGAGTGGAGACTCAGCTTGAATGAATCCTATTTTGTGTAGTGCATTTTTCTACCAACATCCACCTGCATTTCCTTTCCATGGTGGTTGCTAGGCGTGACCTGCATTTACAGAAATGGTCTATGTGGCATCCTGTAGAAAATATATTAGAACATTATACAGTGCTGTAAACACCAACTTTTTTGTCTCAAGGACTTCCCGAAGCAGGTTCTATTAAATGCACACTACAACAAATGTGCTGTCTAGGATTTGCATCACAGTAATCTCCAGAGTATGAGCAAGGCTGGAATAGAGGCCCAGTAGATGGGATCACAGATGATGATGAAGCTAGGTACATGGCTTTCATTGTTTTCTTCATTTTTGTAGAGGTTTGAGAGGTTAAATAAAATTGCCAAGGAATAGCTGTCCTATTTTTGCAGTATTATACTCGCAGTCTTTGATTGAGTGAGACGTTTGGGATCTTCTTTGATTTTAATGATCAAGCCATGGCCGGTAGAAAGGAATTCTATCTAGACTGGTTAGAAATCTTCAAATTTAGTCATCACATGTATGATGTATGGGTGCTTCAATTATGAGTCATTGACCTGTGAAGGGCAGAATTAGAATGATGTGCATGGCCACTGACATTTTAGAGGCAGAGAATATATGGATGTGAAGCATGGGAGAAGAGAAATCCTACCACTTAAATTGTTAGACTTTGGAGATGATCATTGCCTACATTCAGAACCTACTGGAACATTCCCTCCTGCCACCATCACCTATGCAGATTTTGCCCCTACTCTAGGCTGGAATTTACGTTCTCCTGTGCCTTAATCTTGTCTCTTTTTAAAATGATTCTCTTAGTACCCCCTCCCTTTTTTTTGAAATCTCCCACATTCCTTTCAGTCCCCTAGACCAAATCCATTCATCTTGATCTCTTTAGGCCAGTTTTTCCCTATCACATGTCCCTTGCTATACCCCAGGCTGGAAAACTGGCCCCTCGTTTTCCTCCCTTTCTTCATCTTTTTCAGTGAATGGCTCCTGGTGTTTGTTAACAAATGTAATTGAAACATGGCTTAGCCCAGTCACGAAGACCCATTCATTTAGCCTTAAAAGATTTCAGGCAGTTGGCAAGTAAGAATTCGAAATAAAAATTGAAACTACCACCTGTATTTTTTCAGGCCGTTGATGCTCACTGCCATCGGCTGCATCGTCCCTATGGCACTGGTAAGTGTGGGAAGGGCTGGTGACCATTTTGGTGGGCTGCTGGTTTTATCCTTTTTGGGGAAAAATAAAAAAACAATCCATTTGCAAATTGTATGAACTTGATCCTGAGGGTTGGGCAGCCTCAACCAGCTGTAGGAAACTTAAAAAGATGAGGCAATTTATGTTCATGGATTTTCTTCTTGGGAAACTTTTTTTTTTGGGCGGGGGGGTCAGGAATGAGAGCTATTCAGTACCTTGAGCTTTATATAAAATTAGTATGTTCTGTGTATTCCTTTGAATCATAAGCATATGCTGTCCGTGTGATCTGGGCATGTCAAGTAATAACTGTTAAATTTCCTGTCATCCTAAAGATCAGTAATTAGCTTCATATTAGAAAGCGTCTTGAATGTCAAAATCCATTGGTTTCCTTCAGCATCAGGATATAGCTTCCTATTCTTTGTGAACACGGGGTCAAATGTTGGCCCTAATAATGAATCCAATTTTGATAGAGATTTGTCTTGAGTGTTCTTGTAAGGAGAGAGAGGTTTTGGTGGAAACTAGAAATTTGTGGTTATCATTTAAAACAATTGCAGGTGGATTTGGGACTTGTGATTTGGGAAAAAAATAAAAAAGATTTCACCACAATCTGCTTTCTGCTTAGGAATCTAGTGGAGAAAATACACATTAATTAAGTTGTCTAGGGCAGCAAATCACCATGATCTTGTATGCTGGTACTAGGACTTGAACTCAGGGGCCTGGGCATTGTCCCCTAGCTTTTTTAGTCAAGAATGGTGTTCTGCCACTTGAGCCTCTTCTGGCTATTTGGTATTTAGTTGGAGATAAAGTGTCATGGACTTTCATGCCCAGGCTGGCTTTGAACTGTGATCCTTAGATCTCAGCCTCCCAAGTAGCTAGACAGGTATGAAGGAACCACTGGTGCCAGCTCTAAGTTCATTTTAAAATATGTCATTACCTGTTATATTTAGTAAATCCAGTTTTGAAACATTTCTATCACCCGGAAAGTTCTCTTGTGCCTGTCTTCAGTCAATTCTCACTCTTAGCCCCTAGCACCTACTGATCTTCTATCTTTTTAATAGCTTCACCTTCCCAGAAATTTCCATTTATGTGAAAATAATTCTTTGATGTTCTTTGATGCCCGATTCCTTCTATCGATGTTTTTTGAGGTTTATCCACATCATTTCCACATCCTTCTCATTTCTCAGTAGTATATTCATTTTTATGCCGAATAATGATTTTTCCATTGTATACACACTTTGTTTATGTATTCATTCACCAGTTGTTTCCACTTTTTGACTCCTATGAAATAAAGCTGCCTATCACTATCCAGCCCAGGGCTTAATGTGAATATATGTTTTCATTTCTCCTGTATAGATATCTAGGAGTAGAATTGCTAGGTCACATGGTAAGGGTTTTAACATTTTAAGAAAACTATTCTAGGGCTAGGATTGTGGCTTAATGGTACAGTGCTTGCCTAGCATGCTTGAGGCCCTGGGTTCAATTCCTCAGTACCACATACACACAGAAGAGGCTGGAAGTGGCACTGTGGCTGAAGTAGTAAAGTACTAGCCTTGAGCAAAAGAAGCTCAGGGATAGTGCCCAGGCCCTGAGTTCAAGCCCCATGACTGGCAAAAAAGAAAGAAAGGAAACTATTGCAAGATAGCTTTAGTATTTTACTTGCCCACTTTCATTCTATAAGGGTTCAGGTTTTTATATCCTTGCTAATAGTTTACTTTGGGATTGTCAGTCTTTGGGATTATAATCGTTTCTCATCAGTAAACTGATGTCTTGTAGCTGTAATATGCATTTCCCAGTGATTATTGAATGATTTCTCCTAATATTTATTTGCTATTCACCCTCTGGTTTTGAACTGATCCTCATTTCAGTCTCCTGAGTAGCTAGGATTACAGACATAAAACCATGAACACTTGGCATTTTTTAGTTTTATAATTTCAGGTTTTACATTTAGATATATTAACTATTTTTAGTTAATTGTGTTAAATGAAGTAAAAGTCACAGTTTGTGGGATTTTGGTGTTTTTCTTTTCTTTTTCTTTTTTTGGTAGATTGTGGAGCTTGAACTCTGGGCCTGGGAGTTGTCCCTCAGCCCTTCAGCCGTGCTCTACCACTTGAGCCACAGCGCCACTTAACGTTTTCTGGTGGTTAATTGGAGATAGGAGTCTCAGGGTCTTTCCTGCCTGGGCTGGTTTTGAACCATGATTCTCAGATCTCAGCCTCCTGAGTAGCTAGGGTTATAGGCGTGAGCCACCAGCACCCAGCAAAATTTATGTTTTATATAAACTATGAAATTATTTGAGAATCATTTGTTGTAAAGTGTCTTTTCTGCTTTAAACTACATTGACAATTTTCATTGGAAATTGACCATACCTCTGAATGGTGTTTTGTTTTGTGATACAGTCTATGTCTAGTATCTAGTATCCCCAATTTCTTGATTACTTTGTCTTTTTTTTTTTTTGTTATGGGGCCTGAATTCTGGGCCTGCACACTGTCCCTCAGCTCTTCAGCTCAAGGCTAGCACTCTACCACTTGAGCCACAGCGTCACTTCTGGCTTTTTCTGCTTATGTGGTGCTGAGGAATTGAACCCAGGGCCTCATGAATGCAAGGCAAGCACTCTACCACTGAGCCACCTTCCCAGCCCTACTTTGTCTTGAAATCCCATGGGCATATTCTTCTTTTATTTTCTCTTTGAAGATTGCTTTCAGTCTTCTGGATTCTTCACATTTCCATAGCTATTATAATCCACTATTAATATGTTGAAAAATAGTCTGCTGTAATTTTTCTTGGGATTTTTTTAGATGTGTGTACATGTAAAGAACACACGTTCACCAGGCACTGGTGGTTCATGTCTGTAGTGACATGTCTACTTAGGAAGCTTAAGTCTGTGGATTAGCATCACCAAACCAGGCAGAAAACTTCATGAGATTCTTTGTTGTTGTTTTTAGTTATGGGGCTTGGACTTGGGGCCGGAACACTGACCCTGAGTTTTTTTTTTTTTTTTGCTCACTTGGAGCCACAGTTCCACTTCTGGTGTTCTGATGGTTAATTGGAGATAAGAGTCTGACAGGGACTTTTCTGGCTGGGCTGGCTCCAAACCTCAGGCTAGGATTACAATTCTCAATTCTCCTGAGTAGTTAGGATTATAGGCGTGAGCCACTAGTGCTCAGCTTGATTTTAGTTTTAATTGTTCTGTGTAAGCTATAGCTATAACCACCAGTGTGGTAGCTGTGATCCTGTATTTCAGATGTGCTAAGTCTAAAATACCTGTTGAATTTAGAGTTTTAAAAGGGATAGGAACAAAAATAGCTTATTGATTATGTTATTTTGTTGTTGTTGTTGGTGGTGGTGGTGGTGGTGGTCATGGTCATGAGGCTTGAACTCTGGGCCTGGGCACTGTCCCTGAGCTCTTCAGCTCAAGGCTAGCACTCTACCACTTGAGCCATAGTGCCACTTCTGGTTTTCTGTTGGTTCATTGGAGATAAGCGTCTCAGGGACTTTCCTGCCTGCTCTGGCTTTGAACCATGATCCTCAGATCTCAGCCTCCTTAGTAGCTAGGATTACAGGCATTAGCCACTGGCACCTGGCTTGATGTTATCTTTTGAATTACATATTGAAACAATATTTTAGGTGTATTGGGTTGAAATACTAAAATTTATTTTTTGTTGGAGCCACATAAAATATTGTATTTTGTTATTCCCTTAACCAAATTCATTCATTGGTTCAAATAGAGGTTTTGTATAGTTTTGTATATTTCCTTAGGATTTTCTACATAAAGTCATTTTATCCAGGAACACAGTTATATTTCTTTCTTCCTACCCAAGGTGTGCGTCTGTGTGTCTTGGGGTAGAGCTCAGGGCCTAGCTGCTGTTCCTGAGCTTCTTTTGCTCAAGGCTAGCACTCTTACCACTTGAGACACCGCTGTTCTTCCGGCTTTTTTTGGTAGTTCGTTAGACCTAAGAGTCTGACAGTCTTTCCTGCCTAGGCTAGCTTCACATTGCAATCCTCAGATAGCAGCCTCCTGAATAGCTAGTATTACAGGCATGAGCTACTAGTGCCTAGCTTAAAACTTAATCTTGACTACTGAAATATTGTTTGTTGATTATAAAATCCTAGCAAGAGATTTTCTTGGTTTTGTTAAATGCTTCCTTTCCATAAGTGAATATCAAAAGGTGCTGTTGTAGGCATGTTGGTGCTAATAGATTTGGACGTGATTGCTGAGCTCTTTCAAGTATTAAGAAGCAGTAGTGTGAATAATGTTTGTTTGTTTGTTTCTGAGAAAGCTCATCTGTATTGAAATTGATTTTTATCAAATGTAGCTTAATGGCATTAATCAGGTTTGTCCTTGTCCTAACCAGGAAACCATCATTTACTATGGAAAAAATTGATGGGTAAATAATGAGCTAGGTGAATGTTTTTGTTTTTTTATTTTATTTTTGTTGGTCATGGGGCTTGAACTCTAGGCTTGGGTGTTGTCCCTCAGCTCTTCAGCTCAAGACTAGCGCTCTACCACTTGCCACTTTTGGTTTTCTGGTGGTTCATTGGAGATACATGTCTCAGGGACTTTCCTGCCCTGGCTGGCTCTGAACTGTGATCCTCAGATCTCAGCCTCCTGAGTAGCTGGGATTCCAGGTATGAGCCACCAGCACCCAGCAGGGTGAATGCTTTTGTAGAATATATTCTTCTGGAGTTCCTCATAGTCTCCCATCCCAGCGCTTCTTTTGTTCAGGAGCCCATTTTTGGAACATGGTTTTCCTATAGATCCTTCCTCTTACTGGGAGAGGGTCTAGTCATACCATATTTTGCTTGAATTCATGATATCAATTCCATCGGATTTATAGGGGGTTATTAAGGAAAAGTACACCTGATCGTCTATGAACTTATGGACATTATAGATGTGATATGGGCAATTCTCTCACCCCTATCTGTGACTTGGAAATGATAGCAGCACCTCCTATCAAAGGCTACTGGGAGGCACATAAGCTGAT